GCGAACGGTGGTGGCTCCCCCGTGGGCAGGGGACCCTGATGGCACATTTGGGGCCGGAGCCAGGCCCATGTGGGTAGACCCAGTTTTACTCGATCCGGGAGGCCGGTTCCTCGGCTCCTTTGAGCCCAAGTAGGAAACCCGTTCTTCTGCAAAGACCAGACAGCCGCCTCTCCTGCACTAAGTCTTTGCATTTAGGTGCATTTTTGTGAAAAGGCGTGGCCTTGGGTGCGTCCGCTCCCCTCTGTGGAGCCCAGTTGCCTGTGAGTCGAGGTGGTTGGGGCCGTGGCTCTCCGGGTTCACCTGAGTCCACGTCTCCACGGCGGCCCTGAGCAGCGTGCCCCTCCCGTGGTGGGAACGTGGGAATGGACACGCAGCCCCCGCTGGCATGCAGATTGGATCCGGGTCATTAAAACTGCGCTGGCGATGCCAGGCTGGTGCCAGGCTCATTTTGAGGCTCATTACACAAAAACACCACGTGACCCAGCGTGCAGGCCCTGGGGGCACCGAGGGCTTTAGCAAATGCCGCACAATAAATTAAGAGCAAAGTAAGAAACAGGTTTTCTTTACTATTCGGAGTCGTGGTTTGAAGGCAGCTGATGAACTTGACTTCTCAGGGCCGGCGGGAAGCCCTGACAGGCCGGCCGTGGGTTCGGACGTCACGTGAGTTAGGACGGGGGCAGCGGGGCTGCGGTGAGGACTTGGGAATTTCTCTCACAATTTCTCTTCAGATTCCACCGGGACATGCAAGCCCAGAGCAGAAAACCTGAAAAACAAATGAGAAAATTATGGGAAATTTTGCTATGAAATTATGTTCCTCTTCTTTTTTTTAGAAAAGATATTTTTTTCAGAGAGGAAGGGAGAGGGAGAGAGAGAGAAACATCAATGATGAGAGAGAATCATGGATTGGCTGCCTCCTGCACGCCCCACACTGGGAATCAAGCCCACAACCCGGGCATGTGCCCTGATCAGGAATGGAACCGGGACCTCCTGGTTCATAGGTCGACGCTCAACCACTGAGCCCCGCCGGGCGGGCACGTTTCCCTTCTTATAACACTTCCCCGGTGCCCTGCCACTCAGAAGGTGGACGGGTCAGTGTCCTGAGGCCCCAGCCCGCAGCCCAGTGGCTCCGGGGGCTTTCAGAAACCCACAGCCAGACAGGGCCCTGCCCAAGGGCAGCGCAGTCTTTGGAGGTGGGATCAGGCCTCCGTAGTTTGTAAAGCTCCCGCTGAGTCTAGTAAGTCCCGGATTGAGGTTCCTGGACCGGCAGCGTCGCAGCACCCGGAACCTGCCGGAGAGGCACCTGCTCAGGGCCCAGACCTCCCGGGTCAGCAATGCAGCTGGAGCCGGTGCTGCGTCTCCTCCCGGTGATGCTTAGGCGCTGAGGTCGCGCGCACTGGCTGCAGCCGGGCCCGGAACGCGTGGCCCGCAGGTTTTCAAAGCACGTGTTTCCGGTTGCTTCCTCCTCCATGGAAAAGCCGGTGGGTGTTGAGGGACAGGGCTCGGTGTAGCGAAGCCCCGGGATGAACAGTTGCAGAGGTTCCCTCACTCGCCGCGGCTCTAACCCGCGCCCCGGGGGGATCGCCGGCCACAGTCCTAGTCTCACGCGGGGACGGTGACGGAGTGACAAGAACGCCCTGGCAGTAGTTGGCCGCAGGACTCCTTGCCAATTGGGGCTGCTCTGGGTTTTTGGAAAAGTTATATTATCAGCCCAAGGCCTGTTCTCTGGGCAGGGCTCTATGAGCGGCTGCCAGTCATTTGGGGGGGCGGGGGGATGTGGGACGTCGTGTGTGGGTGGCTCAGCTGCCCCGCAGCCCTGGGCTAAGCTTTAGAGAAAAAGGGAAAGGCCACCCCGCCATCCCTGCCCGCCCGCTCAGAGGGGGCAAGCGCTGGTTTGCAGGAGCCTCCTGCCGCTTAATCCCTCCCAGACTCCCGGGCCCCGGCGGCAGGAAAGGCCGCAAACACGTGTTTCTGCGTTTGCCCGCTTCTCCGCCGGTGAAGGGAGCCACGGGGTCAGCTGTGGGAGAGCCAACCCCAACCCCAACCCCCAACCCCGGGCTGCGGCTTCCTGACGGGGTGGGAAAGCCAGTCCTCACACTCAGGACCGAGGGCGCACCACTGGGTGCCACGCGCGGTCGGCCACTCCCCTGGTCCGGGACCCAGGCCCAACGTCAGAGATCTCTCTCCCACTCTCCAAAGAGAGAGAGCCAGGGCTGAGCTGGCCGGGAACCTGCCCGGGTCCTGTGGCCGGGGCGCCAGCAGCGGGTGTCATTCCCACATCGGGGCGCGCTCTGCCCCTCCCCTCCCAGCCCACGCCTGCGAGGGGCTTGGCGTCTGCTCACTAGATAATCAGGAGACCCAGGCCCCACCGTCAGAGCTCAGAGCCGGCGCCTGTGGGGCTGGGTGCAGGGAGGCCACAGGCCGGGGACAGAGGGACACAGCAGCCTCCCAGGTGAGGTGTGGGTGGTGCCGACCCGGCCCAGGCATCAGGGAAGGCTTCAGGGAGGAGGTGACAGCTGGGCTGAAGTTTGAAGCCTGACGAGGCACCACTTGGAGTTCATGGGCCGGAAGCAGGAGCAGCTGGTGCTGGAGACGGGACGGCGGGTCCAGGGTCCCAGAGGCGGCCGGCAGGGCTGGGGCCTGGGGTGTGGGCAGAGCTAACAGCAGAGCGGGGTTGGGGGGCGGGGAAGGCCCCTCACTGGGGGTGGCACCAGGCTGAAAATGAGG